AGTGGTAAAAGCTCTTCCTACACTAAGGGATTAAATTTTTAATCATATTTTTACATATTATCTCCTACTTTGTTATTTATCTTACTTTTGCTTACAAAGTTATAGAAAACACTTTTATCTTACAAAATGTATGAGTAAATTCTTTCATGGAAGTTTGATATTTAACATTTCTTATAAATTAGGGCATTGGTCCTATACACAGACTATCCCAAATCTCAAATATAGAGTGTGAGATAGTTTTAATTAAACTATCCCGCCTTCTTACAAGTGTTAAGAACGTGTTCCTCCACCGAGATCAAGGCTGCCAAATGAAACTACACTCTGCCTACTGAGGAGCTGTATCTAGGTGGAATAGCATTAATCTGTGTATCCCCGACATCACACGTTTTATTTAGTCTAACAATCTTCCCAGTACAGAAGATGGACCCATTAGTGTACTACCTTCAAATGTGTGAGAAACATTAGCAACTGCATTTGCAAGTTTGGGGTCATGGGACCTAAATATTTCCTTTAACAGAATTCCTAGCTTTGGCCCAGAAGATCATTCATTCATTCATGCTTTTTCAATAAGTATTTACTGAGCATTCACTCTGAAACCCAACTAAGGCTCAGGACATAAAGGAGAATAGCATATAGTCTCTATCCAAGAAGACCCTAACCTTGCTGAGTTTAGAGGAGATTCACATATAAACAAACACTTGTTTTAATAATAGGAAGAGATAGGAAATTGATAAAATCATCAAAATAATTTTCATGTTACTGACCAAACTAGAAGAACGTTCCCATTTTAGAGTTCTAATTAAGTCTCAAAAATCCCCCTAGAGTTTGTCTCCTTTGTTTTGCGATCTTATTTTGCACGCTTGCTGGACAAAAATTCACCAGAAACAAGATGAATCAGCTAAGGAGCACTGGTCGCAGTAAGTATTTATTGAGCACTTTTAATGGGCACTTTGGAGATATTAAAAAGTATACGGCATGGTTCCTGCCCCTTGATAGCTTAAAGTCAACTTAGGAAAATAAAATGTATGCACATTAGATAATTTAATAAAAGGTAAATGAACAGAGAAGGAAAGGAGTGCCATGGCATCAAAGGAGAGAGCTGACTTCAGGCAATGAAGGTTAAGATAGGATATGAATGAGATCAGGAAGCTCCATGGAACGAAGACCATAGGGCCTTCCTAGAAGTGTGGGGCATGGTTAGTGACAGTGACATAACTTTTCTTCTTGGCCTAAGTTATCTTGGGATTTCCAAGTTCATTATTATTCTCTGAACAGTAGTTGATAAATAGGATTTTACAGGTCACAGGTGTTTCTGAAGATATTTAGTTGAATCCATTCATTTATTTTAGGGGTAGGAAACTCAGGCCAAAGAGAAGAAGCCACATGCATGGAGATGGCATACTAGTCGAATCAAGACACAAGCTATTTTATACTCTGCCCATCTTTTCCTGCACTACTAGATTTTGAAAAGCTAGAATAATTGAGTTCAGAAATTACAAACAGACCATTCACACTACAAATCCTACCTTCAAAACTCTAAGACCTCTTCTGAAGGTATCATACCTTCTGGGGGCTCCTAAGATGCACTTGTGTGATGAAGCATTCAATAAACACCACTATGAACATTATTATATAAATTGGTTGCTACTTATTTTTAGGGCTCCCTTAGACTGTCTAAGAAGCACTGACTGAAATACAGTTCACTCGATTGCTACATAAAAGTAAAAGCAAAATAAAAGCTTCAGGTAAAGCAGAGCCATAAATCTAGGAATTTAAGCTCCTCTCCTCAAGCAACTGAAAGCCAATTCCGCATTTCCTCTTACTTGTTGACAGCCTCTTGGGCATTCAAATAGGAAAGAGCTGAAAACCAGGATTTCCGGTCCAACTGAATACTGGACAACACTTAATGGCTTAAGTAGATTAATAATCGTCTTGCTATTGGAATTTTGCCTTTCACCACCTTTCACCGTACGCTTTGCCTGTACTTGATCTACAGGGAGGCTGAATGTTGAGGAGTCTTTTACCAGACCTGCTCTCAGTCAGCACCCCATCTGCAACTGACAACCCAATTTCGACACCCATCAATCAGTGAGAATTTACTGACTGCTACTATGTTCCCCACACTACCTATGATACTGGTAGAGACTTAGAAGAATTATTCAACATGTTCACTCACTCTCTCAAAGAAGTTAGAATTGAGTTGGGTTTTCAATAGTAACATACACAGAACAAATACAGATCCGAACAAAATCACCATCAGTAGAAAGTGCTCAGTCTTGGAAGACCCATACTCTGGTAAAAGGAGGACCTCCAGGGAGCAATGAGAGCTGATGGGGTTATGGAGCCCTTGGTGGAGACGACACTCCTGAACGTGTCTCAAAAGATGCACAAACTGTAGACAAGAAAACAGCAGAGAGAAGACAGTTCAGGAATAAAGTAACTATTTCAGCAAAGATGAGTTACAGCTGTGGGCTGATGAAGACAGAGTCCTACTGGAGGGTACATAGCTGGGGTGGTAAGAAATGGTTTGGTTAGAAAAAGAAAATTAGAAGTAAAACAGACGGAACTGGATATAACATTTGACATATAATACGAAAATTTGTTTTCAAATGTGTCTCTCTCCATTTAGTGATATCATTCAAATGGCCTGAAACATCTCTGACATCTGTTTTATCTTGCCAAGGTATCTGGTATAGAGTAAATACTTAAGGAATATCTGTTGAATAAAGGAATGAGTAAGTTGATTAAAAGAAAAATGTGTAAGAGTAAATCATACCTAAAATACATGGATCTAAGCATGTTTTCCTTAATTATGAAAAGTAACCAATTTTCCTGTAAATTGTCATGCTACCCTCAGCTAAACACCCAAAGAACCAAGAAACCATTCACTCCAAGAGAACAGTGAACCCATATCACAGATACATCTCAGTGAGCAAGATGGATAGGGCTTTGTTCTTTTGGAGTGTATAGTTTAGTGGAGGAAGGAATGGGAGAGGGAGAAAGCTAACAAGAGGGAGGGGGGAAAGGACGAATAGAGAGAAGGAAAGAGAAAGGGGGAACAGAGAGGGAATGAGGGGGGAAGAAATGGAGGGACACACTGAAACTGATGGAAAGAGACTAGTGAGTGGGTGGGTTTGGCTTTAAATAAAGTGAGTGACCTGAGAAGACTCTGAGGAGTTGAAACTAGAGCTGAAACCTCAAGGACAAAAAAGCAGCAAACCTCACAAAGATTTTAAGGTGAGACTTCAAGTCAGGGTGGACAGTCCTACACGGAAAACATGGTGGTGTGCTCCAGACACAGAAAGGTGGCCACTGTGTCTGTAGTGTGATGCAGAGCTAAGGACAGAAGTACAGGAGCCTGGGAAGGGAGCAGGGTGAATTCAGGGGAGGCCCGGAAGGTTCCAGGAGATGTCCAGCTAAGGACAAAGCATCAGCAGGCACAGTTACTGGAGAGACAGTAGACATCCCAGCAGCTGGAGGGCACACTCTCCATAGGAAATGTCCATTCTCATCAAATTTTCTATTTGTCTCTGAGCCTAGAGACATGGTTGTAAATTCAGACCAGACCTCAAGAGTCCAGAACCATTCCCCGATTTATTTGTAGACGATTGAGACTTGTAGCTCAAGGATTCTGCTCATTTTTCACAATAGTTAATGTAGAAACTCTTGCCTCTACAAAAGTCACTGCAAACAGTAATTGTCCTTTTTTCTGTGGTGAACTGTTATACAGGGAAAAAGAGTGCCTTATAAACGGTGCCTCCACTGCAGTATTTCTCTTCTTTCTCCTCACCCGACAGCCCAGGGAAGAGTATTCCGAACCTGACGGTACAAACACATGATTCATAAAGATGGCTGTTCTTTTCAGACCCCAACTCAGCCCAGGAAAGAGCAGAAGCAGAAACTTCCCTTCCAGATGTGCAAGGCGGGGAGAGTCACTTCATTCTCAGGGGACAAAACAGTGCTTTGAATTTCAAAGACGGATGCCCCAGAGGCCCCACCAGACTCAACTCCACAAAAATGTTTGATGAATGACCATGGCAGGCATCAACTTTGCAGATTAATGACCAAAAGAGTTTAGTTTATGTCTCAGTGGAAGAGGATAAATTTTCCCTTGGCTTTAAGAATCTGAGGGATTGAGAAACCTAGCTAACCACAGCCCCTCTCGCTTCACTCACAATGTTTTACCATGGATCATTTACGTTCCACATTCCCCCTTTCAGTGGGTTTTCATAAATTTAAGTGAAACAGGCAGCATGTCTGTGTTCTGCCTCTTTTGCAATATGATGGCCACCAAGTGATTAGAAATTGTCTTTGGGTTGGTATAGTTGCTGGAAAATCATTGAGGTTTGTTGTGAAATTCATTCTCAACTCATAACTCAACTAGACACTGAGTGGCTATTTTTCCAACTTTAGGCCAGGTTGCTAAAAAATACTAGCATCAAATTAAAAATGTATGTCATGGCCAAACTCCAACCGTATGTATGCATGTGCACATGCATTTACGTGTATTTTACATAGTCTAAACCCCCTATCCAGAAGTAGTAAGCCACCAGCTAAAACCTGAGTGCAGCAGTCAGGGTTATGATTACTTTTTATTCCCTCCCTTATTTCTCCACATTAACAAAGTCTCATGCTTTTGCATTCTGTTAATCATTACGGACCATGTTTCCATGAGAAGAGATATTCCTTGCCTACCGCCATATCATATTTTGCATGAACCACTACTTATATGAACCAATCAATCATCTTTCTTGAAAAATTAAAAACCACCTAGCCCTGTTCTAGGTATTCTCGGGGATGTAAGGGAAGAACAAGGCACGTTCTCTACCTCACAATCCATCTGAGACAGTATGTGGAGCTTCAGAGAACACTGCAAGATGGGAGCAGAGTGGGAAAGCATGTGGGACATCAAAGTGCACAGCCAGAAAATAGTCTAGTAAGGATGTGTGAAGTAGAGGGGATTTTCATGGGGCCTTGAAGTGTATGTAGGGGAAAGACAGGATCAGAAGAGCTAAAGGCAGGGGACAGTCTGCCCTAAGCACAGTGACATGGGATGGAGGGTGGGAAGCAGAGTATGAGTTTCCATGTGAGAAGGACTAGGTAATAAGGAAGTGACACATACAAGGGCTTGGAACCCCAGAAAGAAGAGTTGAACAGAGCATCTTTATGGGTTACTGAGAGAGGATAGGCAAAGGGCACAGCAATGAAAATAAGAGTTTAATTTCCCAACTACTTGGAATAGATTTTAAAAGAAATTGCAGGTAGGTGATGCGTATTCCATTGGTGATAGATACAGACAACTGTCAATTCTACTTTGGCTTCTCATTAGAGAATTAAAAACTTGATATTTTCCCTTTTTCAGTTAGCACTACCACCAACAAAAAAGAAGACAACTAATCTAAAATAAATGACATACAAATATACCTAAATGACATCCAAATGGTTTTAGAATCATTGGCTCCACTCTCATTTGTAGTCAATACGGACAACACAGAGGTGGTGTCTTTTACAGTCAGTTGCCAATATGAGGGATCATTTGTAACAGGTAAAAGGCAGTTAATGAGAATTAGATTTGCTTTCCTGCCTTAAAATAAGACAGGCTCATGAAAGGCACACCGATGACAATTTCTGTCTTATGATGTAACAGGACATTTTTACTCCTGCTATTCCCGTTTCCAGTAATACTTTTCTGTATTGCCTGTAGCCTTTAGGGTTCCTTCTTCCCCTTCATGCAGTGGTAAGCTGAATAAACTCAAATGTAAAATTCTGTTTGACTTGTGGCTATGCTCTTATCAAGGTCACATTACATTGTGCTGGTGTCAGCCCAATGTGGTGACATCAAGCTAAACAAACATGTCAGTGAAAGCACTTCAGCACAGAACACTTCAGAGTGTACTTATTAGCAAGAACAGGGCCTGAGACTTAAAGGAATTCATTTCTACCTCCCCAGAAGCGTTCCTGTGTCTACACGCTTGTTTTGATAGACCAGCAGTTTGTCAATCAGATCCTCTGTATCTATAAATTCATCATAGAGCTGGAACATGTCCAGTAAGTCCATTGTTTTTAAAACATTAGGAAGCAAATAGATGTCATCGTAAGTTACACTTCTTTTTCTCAGGGAAATAGTTTTAAGGCACAGAGGTAATTCAAACTGGTGAAATCAAAGTTGGATTCCAATTCAGAGTTTTAGTAAAGATACTGAGAAAGACCTGTTTGACTTGGCTGTCCTTTGGTGACATTTTTTTTTTCCCATTCAGAAGCAGCCTTATTTCCAAAAACTGAGTTTTTTTTCCCCTTTGTATGAGTTTTTGTCTTATCCTACACATAATATCAAACAACTCAGGTAATTCTTCGCTAGGCTCCTTGTGACCTCTTCATAGATTATCAAACTGCTACAGAGAAAAAGCATATACGTTGCTGTTTTACTGTAATCTTTTTCTCCATTCTCATCCTCAAAGTATTCCAAATTAGAGGACATTTTTCTTGCCTCATACTTTGAAACTATGATTTAGAGTAGGTCAACATTTAACATCTTCTCTATGGCTGGTAATAGGCACAAATCTAAAAAGGCTGTCTCCTTCCATTTCTATAAAGTCAAAAATTTCAAGTGCTTCTGCCTGTTTTGGGGAAGCTAAAAGTGACCAAAAATGTTCATTATGAAAGCTTCAAAATCACAGGTAAGCAAATCATGTCCCTTTCCAGCAATGTTGTAGACAGGGTGTAGTGGGTATTCAGCTGGTGAGATCGTTTCATTTCTTTGGTAAGAAATTTAAACACTGGTTGGAGTTTGCCAATATTTACATTTGTACTGTCTGCCAGTACACAGATAGATGAGTGGATTATAATATGTATTTAGACAAGATATCAACAATCTTTTCTTTCCGTGTTTTCTGCAGTTTCACTAAAATCTTCATCAAAATCAAGAAATTTGAAATTCCATTTTTCAAGCCCAAGTACTGAAGAGCCACAGGGAAAATTATCTTGTTGCTGTGATTTGAGGGGGTCACTTGATACATGATGCAAAGCACAGTTGTTGGTCAGATCTGACAAAATTAGCTCTACTCTGTAGGGGCCCAACACATTTGTTGCCCCAAATTGTCCCAGGTGTTCACCCATAGGACATTTTAACTACAACCTATGAATCAAGAAACACAATGTCAACCAGTTTCATAGAGCAATCATGAAAACAAGATGACAATTCTGCTTGTTTGCATGATAAGCCCAAGATAAGTCTGCAAGCACCTTTTTCTACTAAACATTGGTGTCTTCTTGGAAGATGAAAAAGCTTTTGACTCATTTAGAAGTACATGTATGTCTCATTCCAAGACTGAGATTCAGTCTTCATTTGTGCCTTCTCCACCATGTCCAATTCCAAATTCTTTTTTTTTAATCTCTAAAAATTCTTTTCTATGTATTGGGCAAAATGCTCTGTTTGATTATTTATTAGCCCAATTCAATTGTATGAGTCCTCCCACCTTTCATTAAAATAACAGCCATTTAACCTTTCTCTGGGATGTCTAGGTCATGCCTGCATTGGTATTAAAATCATCCTCCTCTTCATTATCAGAACTGTTAGAAAATATGGTCACAATATTCACAATGTAAACATTAAACTAGCCTTCTCTTGACACAAAGAGCAACAGTTAATCCATAGACAAAGTTAAAGAGATGGACTGTTAACAGTCTATCACAATGTACTGAAGGTGTATACTTAAGGTGCATCAGTTGGAAAGAACCAAAAATGGAGGATTCATTACCGTGAATTTTAAATCATGGGTACTAATACAGGGGAGGAAAATAGTGATAGCGACTATGGAAGGTGGATTATCTATGCTGCATCTATTTGACACCAAAAAAAAAAAAGCATTGCTTTCCATGCCTATATTTTTGCACTGCCATATGGGTTTCATACTTTCCTCCCAACCTTTGGCATCCATCATCAAAACCCAAGATTTTTTATTCCAGGGATGAGATTCCCAAGATACAGGATTTTCAGTGCTAAAACCAGGGCAGTTCATATTACTAGGACTCTGATATTATTCTGCATAAATACTTGCAAAGTTTGAAACATGAAGAATCAGAAAGCCAATCATCTTATCAAAACACAATGAAATAATAGGTGGAATACATTATTTATTCAGAAATGCATCTGGGAAGTTATGATCCATATTTGAAAATGGACTGAATGCAGAAAAACACATTTACCTGAAAACTAACCACTTGGGTCTGTCCAAAAGGTAGAGACATTTAAGATGACTCAAAACCTATCAAACTGATGGCTATGACTTTTAAAAATAAAGGAGGAACAAAATCTGGTCCAGGTGAGAATAAGTCACTTTGTTTTTGCCTTTATAATTTATCAAAGCTAAACTGTAAAAGCCTAAACCAAATACCAGAACACTTCCAACCTCCATTCTAATGAGTTGTAATATCTCATTAAAAAAAATTTTTTTTTGCTGTTTATCACAAAGAGGGCAACAGCTCTATTAGTGCATTTTTACTGCCACATGGCCAATGCTGTTTCCAAAATATATATTCATATAAACATGAGTCCATTATTATTAATAGAGAAGTCTTGGAGTGAATACACTTAGTTACATCCAGTAGAAGCCTCACGAGGGACTATCCTTGCTCACTCAACAAAAAAGGCTCTAAATTGTATGTGAAGGAGCACTGCCCAAAATACAAACAAAAACACACTATGTTAATAAGTTGTGTAGATAAAATATATTTGAGGAACACTGAAACTAAAAAGTGTCCAACACGGTTCCAAATTATAGAGTTGATACATTCTTTAATAGGCTTATGTGCAATGACCACCTTAAGAGCTGGAAATCTTGCATTTGTTTTCCAAATATATTTGATCAGGGAGTTTCAAAATTTTGGAACACTTCTATGAAGCAAGATTCAATCAAGTACAGTTTGGAATACACTGATATAAATAAAGAAAAATATTAAAATCAGATTCTTTTTTGAGTTCAGCTAAAGCCTCAAAACAATAGAAACCAACTGGACCTGCATTCCAAGACGGGGTGCTTGATCACCCAGGCAGGACATGTGATGGAGGTATCCAAAAACTAGATTTGCAACCCTCAGCTGATCACATTTCTCTATATTACAAAAAAAGTATTGGACAGGGTATAAGAGAAGTTTGGAATTGTAAAGTGGGGATTTCTTAAAAGAGAATTTCTAGGTTTGCCTGCAATGTTTTACTGCTATGGAGAAGGGTTAGGGATACTTCCCTCATCTCAAGCAAGTGAGAGGAAGTTCAATGGACCATTTGGATAGCTCTGAACGTATCTCCTGAATTTTTAGCATCAGAGTGAACTGATTTCTGACTTACGCCTAAAATAATTAACAAGTGAAAAAAAGACTATGGCTGAGGCTGCTTGCTAGGTGGCTCAGTAAAATAAGCCTGTTTTGAGTATGTAACCATACCCCACTAATAGTAAGTCAAAGATCTCCATTTCCATGGAGAAGATCAGGACCAAGTGCAAGACAAAGCACACTGGGTTAACCTTGGATCCTTCCCTGCTGGACTTACAAGGGTCTCAAAAGAGAGAAGTCCTCAGATGTCTAGGATTTAGAAGAGGAATAACAAGATAACAGCCTTAGGAGATAGGATTTATTGTCACCGAGAGAAATGCAAGTCAGAGGACTCAGCTGTTCATGAAACAGCCTAGGAAGGGCCAGGCTACACATCTGGCACTGGAAGAGCAAACCAGGGCCAGACTGGCACCAGTCTAGCAAGTCTGATCCTGCCTCCTGCTTCTCTTCCCTGCCCTCATCGAGCTCCTGGAGAGTGGAGACCAGGAGATGAAAGAATAAATGAAGAAGACATTACTCAGCACACAGAAAACACATTACCTGCAGATGAATTTCAGTTTTCATTCTTATCCGAGACTTTGTATGTTTATAACTGAACCAAGAGTGCTTCAAGACTCCATAAACAGAGGACTTATTATCTAAGAGCGAGCAGCAAGCTCTGGGCACCAAGATTTTATTCAGAGGC